GTTTCGCTGACACAGCTTTCGCAGAAATCTCGCTGTAGTCGTTTTCGTCGACAAAAGGAATAGCAAAATCGCTCTCCGCGTCTTCCCCCATTTTGTTCTGCGTCATTTCGTGAAGGACGCGTGGCTCTCAGCGTGGGTCATCCACGCGGAACACATTCGCGCTATGTGATTGGCTGTTGTTTAATCCCCCTCGAGATCTGTGGTGTTAAAAATAACTCGAGACGAATTACCTATGGAATAGGGTGTATATGGGGGATGGCCTCTCTGTCCCCTTTATAGTCTCTTGCTTATCACAGCCTCCGACGTCACACTAGCGGTGAAAAGTCCGTCTCAAGTGGTGATTACCTTATTTTATTTTACGTTAAAATGGACTAATTGTAACGAATGACAGAATATAATGAGAAGCAACGTGGATTTTATTAAACTCTCAAAACCTACAAATAACGTTTTCTTACTTTAACATCAACGGAAGAGACAAAACATTACTAAATACATTAAATTCTATAACTAACAAAACAATTCTAACAAACTCTCTGAAAGTATATCTAGTATTAGAGGAACTCATTATATATTCTACCAAAAACAGCGGGAAAACTGACAATTTCCTACTTCTCCATCAAAGGAAGCGATAAAACATTACCAAATACATTAAATTCTAAAACTTACAAAACAATTCTGACAAACTCTCTTCCTTTTCGGTGAAAGTATATCTAGCATTAGAGGAACTCATTATATATTCTACCAAAAACAGGCGGAAAACTGACAATTTTCTACTTCTCCATCAGTGGAAGCGATAAAACATCACTAAATACATTAAATTATATATATAACTTAATTATAAAGCAACTCTAACGAACTCCCTTCCTTGGTTGGAAGTACATCTAGCATTAATATATACACAAAAAACCAGATAATTTCCTACGGTATATAGTGATCTATAATAGGAAACTTACGATCCGACAACCGCGACGTTCATGAAAACGTCGCGGAAAAATAGACTCAGCATTCTTTCACTTTTTTTCCCATCATCCCAAGTCGTCCAGTTACATAAAAGAAGGGAATTTAGGTCGGAGCTGAAGAGAAGGGACCGCGCCCGATTTCAGACAGAGATGGTAGAATTTATCGCCTTGCCGTTCATAAGTAAACCTAAAATTTGGTCATTTCAAGTCGTAGTTGTGCAGAGACGGCAAATAAATTTACAATAAAAGCGTGATTCACGTGCAGAGTTGTTGTTTTGCTGATTAAACCTATTGCCTTTTGACGTTTTCGTTGCCGTCGCTATCGTAGTTTGACAGAAAAAAAACTCTTGCAAAACTAACATAACCCACCTGATTTTTGCTCACATAGGGCTGTATAAAAGCAATATTTGAATCTTCGATCGAAGGACCCATTAATTATAGAATTACAAGTGAAAAATAGCGTAATATCGGGATCGGTTTAAATGAAACATGGAAAAAAACAATGAAAAGCGAATTTAAAAAAGCACGAGTGACATAACTAACCCACAAAGCATCTACAATCATTAAAGGCGTTGTAAAAAAAAAACCTGTACTAACAAATTGAATAATCAAAACAACCTAGAACCTTAAAAAGAAACAACGTAGTAAACTACCAAAAAATAACGCTCCCTGAACCCCTTCAAAAATGTAACGTTTGTCGATATTAAACTGGCCCGGGATAAGCTACAAAACTGTTTTATCTACCAATAACAAATTTGGTGCTCTACTAATCACCCGTGACAATCTAATCCCATATTATCTGTGCAAGTGCGCGAATCACCTGGCTTCAAAAAAGTTCTTAGCCTGCGAAAACAGCCGTTTCTCCTCGCTCCTCGCCGCTTGGGACGTTCAGCGCAAAGATACGTCCGCGCCTAAGCGACAGAAATTTCATACTGATTACGTAGAATCTGTCCGGACTGGTCAGGAGCTCTGAGTGGTCAACGTAGTAGTCGTATTGTTTTAGCTAATGTTTACGAATGACAAAAAAGACAAAAGGCCACAGAGGTCAAATGTAAACGCGATGAATCTATAACAAAGCAGTCAATAATCGTGCAAACGGCTATCTTCGCAGCCTAAAAGATTCCTAAGTTTAAATCTAAGTCATCAGTGAAATATGAAAGGCAAATTCATGTCACTTATAATGCTGGTGTTTCCTTTTCTGTCCCTTTCTTTCCTCTAGGGAAACTACTTTGACCATTGCGCGAGTTATCGCACAGTAGATCGACGCGTTTGGTGCGCTTCGATAAGGCAGCGATGCTGCAATGTTCACCAAAATAACAAGTGGTCGTTCTAACCCACTGTACTTGCGGAACGTACTAACAAGGACGCATTCAGAATCGTTCCCATAAGCATCAACAACTTCAGGAAGATTCAACTGGCTGCAGAGATATTTTCTTTCAGGAATGCAGTCTTCTTTGCCATATAAGATGGCTATGTCCCTTTCACTATATCCTTCTGTTAAGAGTGATAGAAGAACTTCCTTTAAGGCAGCCATTTGTTCACCTCTTGTGTACCTCTTGATAATGGGTTCTTCTCCATCAAAATCGTGCCCCATTTCAATCTGACGAGCAGAATTTTCACTTAAAAAACGTTTGGCCCAGTTGGAAATTCGTTTCGAATTTCTAATCACTTTTGTCAAATAGAAAGTTGGCTGTTGGTAAATATCATCTGGGATGCCTGTGGGGTAGTTATGATTCACTTGGTCTCTATCGATAAAAATCCACAACGAGCCTCGACCTGAATTGGCACAGTCGGTGTCACGAGGCTTTGAGACACGGCTTTCGGAGAGATCTGTGTCGGAGTCAGAGTCGCTGTCAGAGGTGGTATTACGTGCGGATTCCTCGTGTTGGCCAGTCTTGACCTGGAAAGATGATTCTGCAGTCGGAGAACTGCGAGAAGTGGGGTGGAAATCCATTTCAGAATCGGAATCAGATGAACTGTAGTCCAGTTTTCAATCGTAATCTGAGACGACGCCGGAGTCGTGCCTAGGATTTGGGCAGTGCTGGAGAACAAGTGTTCTGGCCTTCTCTAACCAGTCCCCATCTTCGCTTCGATAGTTCTGGACCTCATCCAGGATGACATGATGTACGTTAGGAAAGGACATCATCATGAAGGATCGACGGCATACGCACTGACAAATGCCGAGTTTACTGAAGATAACAACAAGAAAAAGAGAAATATTTAAATTTGGTCACTTACGGGTGAGGAATTTGACACACATGTCCTCGTCCACATGTATCCGGATATTATTGAACACGGGGATCTTTTTTCCTCGGTTTTCTAAAAATACACGTGACATGTCGCGTATTCGAATAATTTCGAAAACACTAAAACGATGGAAAGACGATAGGATCCCTTACAGGGCATGCGCCGTATAATGTATGACATTATCATCGTATTGGAAAACTTTCGTTTTCGCCCGTCCACCCAAAACTGACAGGCTGTTGTTTGCACTCATCTCCACTCTGGAAAGCGATTTCGATGAAAGTTTTCACCGGGTACGTGTGGAAGGTTAAACTAGGGAGGAAATATCTGTTTTTAGTGAAACAAAAACAGATACTTGTGGACAGGGCCTAATACAAACACCTCAATACACGTGCAATTCCCCTAATCTATCACCTATGAAAAACTCTTTACAACGGACTGAACATTGAGCCGTTTGTTGGTGCTACTAGGGACCCTACGATCCCGCGACAATTTGCGACGCCGTCGCTGAATAATAGCCTTTGAATCCTTTTGAATTTTTTCGCGTTTATTTCATGTCGCCAAGCAACTCAAAGGAAGGGAAATTTAGGTTGGAGCCAAAGAGAGGGTATCGCATCCGAGTTAGACAGAGATTCGCCTTGCCTTTCTATTCTAACTAAACATAAAATTTGTCCATTTCACATCGTAGTTGTACAGGAATGGTGAAGAAATTTACAAAAAGCACATTAAACCAAGGCTTGTTTGACGTTCCCTTTGCCGCCGCCACCGCAGTTTCCTTAATCATACAAAGCGGCCTGACTCACTAGTTGGTAACACTGGAACAGCAAATACTAAAAAGTGAAAAATACTTTTTATACATAAGGTTAGTGAAATCACCTTATCTTCTGTCTCAATCCCAGGTTCTCGCATACATATACTATATCCCAATATGTGAGCGTTGGATCGCGGCGTCTGAGCTCTTTAATAAACTCCACTGCTACAAGGGTCTTGCCAGTACCAGCTGCACCCTTTATCCAAAGTTCCTTGTGCCTTTCAATCTCATGGTGGAAGAGCTGGAATTGTTCCACGGTCAAAAGATTAAAGAAGCTGATACCCTGTTTATTGGAAAGGACAGAGGGGACCTTTGCCAATACGATGACAAGCGATTTCAGAACTTCCTTGACTTTTCCTCGTGGAGTTTCTAGCTGATAATCCACAGGGTATCGATCATCTGGAGATAGTAATCCATCAAGCGGCACAGCCGACTTTGCAGTGCAAGATACCAAGTGGTAGCTGATGTAGAACTTTTCATAACAGCCACCATTAACCACAAGAGCTCTCTTTATAACTTTAGCTGTCGTTTGGGCGTAGGATAACGACTCTGTTTCTGTTCCACTGGTGCAAAGGGTAAAGAGATGGAGTCCTCCGAGCTCTTGATCAAACAGCAACAGGTCACAGATAATGCCATCAGCCTCTTCACTGTAAATCTCGGCTTTTGTAATACAGGAAAGCCATGAGCGGGAGCCTACCAGCAACGAACGATTGCGGCCTCGTGAATAATGCTGTTGGATTTCTCTTATAACCTGTTTTACAGGCTCTGGTTGATTTTCTTCGAAGCCCTCGGGTGACAATGGACACCCTGGCTTGGCTTTGAATGGAATGAAAAAGTATAAGGAATACCAATTCAGTACCAAGACGAAATTGCAGCTAAACGAATACGTTGGAAACAACTGAGCGAAGGTCGCAATGTTTTGAATGAACGAAACTGTATGAAAAGTTGACGACATTTTGTCAGAGCAACAGAATGAATTTGGTCATTGAGTGTCGGACGTTGGCGGTAGCCTCAATTTGCTCATATGCACGTGGTTTTTTTTTTAATGGTAAATTCCGGTAAAATTTTTTGAACAATTTTTTTAAAAACGTGCGTGAAAGCTCATGGAGATGGCTCTAGCCGATTGCTAGAAAGACGCATTTGATTAGCATTTATCTTGTTAGCGGTTTTGTAAACATTTTGCTCTACTTTTACAAATTAGCGAGTAATTTTGAAGCCGCCAGATAGATTTTTTTCAAAATTGGACTTGACCGAGATCAAACCGTCGTTTAATATGACCTTTGAGTCTCAAGATTATTGATATATTGTAAGGCAGTAAAATAAGGGCTACAATTTGCTAATTTTTTGACGGAAATTTCGTCTTTACAAATGAAAGCCTCATTATTCAGGAGTCTTGTCTCCAAGTTTCATTTTCACGTGAACAGCAGTAGCAAACAATGCATTTGAAATATGCAGAAATGTTAGCTATTGTTTTCCAGGAAAATTAATGTTAAAGTTGAGACAACACCAGTCATTAGAAATACCTGCAAGGAAAGCTTTCCTGATTCTTTCAGCAGAATTTTTCAAAGTAAGCAAAGGTCCCTTTAAAATGCTCAAAATGCTAAACTTGACCCTCACTTTTTTTGTGCCTATTCAAAACAAAAAGGTTTGGAAAGAAACGTTGTGAACAGATTTTTACTTACAACTTAATGAGGTGTCTGATCATCCCCTGCTAGTCGCTAAAGACAAAAAGGACGAGGTAATAGTACCTGAACCAGAAAGTGAACACCCCCCCCCCCTTTTTGGGGGGATTTTACTGACATATCGTTTCAAACCTATCCCCAAGGGTATTTCATAAATATTTCATAAATACCTGCTTGCAATTGACTTATTGGTGCAGGTGGCGATATACAGTGTAGTTCCATTCTTTATTTTCACCAAATTCCACAGGAAACCCACTTCTGAAGTTAGATCAATAGTTTTGACAACTGGTGTAAGTTCTTTCCCCTGTCTATGGGTCTGTCGATTCCAAGCATTCTTATCTCCCCTAAGGCATTTGTCATTTTTTTCTTTAGACAGTTGCAAATGCCCCCCCATGGGGTAGCAATTTCATACAAATCCCTCTTTGGGCTAAAAAATGTGTCCAAATGCCCCACCGTAGAAATGAGGTCTGTAATATACAATGGCTATGCAATTTGTTGATACAGCATTTACTTAAAAACAGGGTTTATTCTAGAAATTGGCCAATGAGGGTTAAATGGGCCCCCTTCTGTAATTTTAAGGGCGCTTTTACAAGAAAGGGGGTCCCCGAAAAGGTATTAGAACTTATTGGTACAGACCATTCCGTGAGAAAAAGTAAGTTTATAGAGCGACCGTCAAATCGGTGTTGCTAGTGATGTTTTCGAACACTTTGTTTTAAAAAAAATAGTACTTGTCCTTGGGTCTATTTTTTTGCGCCCTATTAGATACGGCAACGTAAATTTTATGCGGCATTTTTTTCCAATGAGGAAATCCCTTAGGGCCGCGCTCTAGAATAAACCTTGTAAAAATAACCAGTGAAAGCAAAAATTAAAAACAACGTGTTAAACAAAAATTCGCTACAATGTAGCAATGACAAATGCAATGATAAAAGTTAGAGGACTTTGCTGGAACAACATGGTCGATTGGAACTACATGTACATGTACAGTCATTGATTCATTGAAAAAATTGCATGTGTAGGCAAGCTAGTATGTAATCAGTGATGGGCCCTGCAGATAGCTGATGTACTAACCTTTACTTTCACCTACGCACGTGCCATGTAGTATTCTCTTCTTCCATTGATTCAAGTCAAGGGGATAATGTAATCCTCTCCGTCAGACCCAACAAGTTCAAAGCTTACCGGGCATCTTCTAAAAATTCCTCCCAAGTTCTGCATACCAGCGATAAGAATCACTACGATAGACCTTGATTCTGCACCAGCAACTGGAAAGAACTTGATGTCCCAATGAACTCCCTGTCTTGGAATAAAGCTCCATGTGTCACTCATTTTCTCAATCATAGCTTCAAACCTATTCTTCAACTCTGCTTCACTATCCCCTTTCATACTTTGACCTTGGACTTCTCCGTTGTCTGTCACACCCATGATGAACATTCCTCCATTGCCGTTTCCAAAAGCGGATATCTGTCTCTCAATTTTTCTATTTTCCTCGTGGTTACTGCTGTGCAATATGGGATGCTTGGATCTGAAGCATTTAAACTGAACCTGTTTGGATTCGTGGAAGTTTAGTACATCCTCGTATGTGAATGTCTCAGGTAAAATACCCACAGGGAGGTCTGTTACTGGAACTCGAGGAACATCCATACGAAGGGATCTCTTAGACAATAAGTCAACAACTTTGTTGTAAGTGGGAAGCAACACTCCCGCATCACCTGGCAGATGCAAATTGTAATCGACTGTACAAAAATGGTTTACTGCCTTGATGAACAGAAAAATGGTGTCTCCCACACGTTTTTGGTCAAATACATCAGTGTATGCTGACGGCTGGACCATTTGATCCAATTTAGGCTGTAACTTTGACCAAAATGTATCCACATCTTTAAGATCTTTAGGTTTAAAGCCATCAATTTTCATCGGAACGATGCCACCCCCTGAATTTAGAACTGCATTGATTGGCTTTAGAACAGCTTCTCGATTGGTTCCCTTTCCAAGCACTATTTTGCAGTGCTGCACATTCTCAGCAAATTCCCTATTAGAAAGCAAATTACTATACTATTAGGTAATTATAAACATTTTTATGCCTGCTTTTCTAATTTCATAGAAGTTTCTGATCTGTTAATTAGAAGAGAAAAAATCATTCCATGTTAACTTGCTGGAATGAATAAAAAATGAATTGTGTTTGTCTTTTAAAGTTAACATGGAATTTAAGTCAGAAAGGTGGGAGGAGTACATGTGTATGGAATCAGCCTGTGACTAATGGGTCACACATAAGTCACTCATTGCTCTTGGGTCCTTGAAAAAAAACTATGATCACATTCATTGCAAGAGGTACCGCAACATTTTTACCGCAACAATGAGCTGCATGATTAGCCAGATTCACTCAGACAGCATATTTTAGACAGCGTTCTGTTTGGCAAGCAAGTAAATTGACTGGCCTGGTAATGGCAGGTCAATCTCAGTTTACTAAAATCTGGACAGCACATATTATTATGAAAGTAGCACATTTCTCCTTCCCATCCTGTTTATGCGGTGCAGGTGGTTTTTCAAAGTAAACTTGTCCAATTCTTTTACATGCACATGACCCTCCTAAGTGGAAGGCCCTTCATACAAGACTGTTTCATAGCTGCATGCATGGCATCTTGTACATTGTAAAATAAAGAAGGTTGTCTACATTTGCCCCCTGATGCCTCTTTGATAAATAACAGCTGTAAGGCCTCCCACTGTGAGGTGAGAGGGCTTAGATGGGGCATCAGCTGACATAGCAGGCCTGCCAAATTTGTGACAACCAAGTTTTGCATCCTGGCAAAAAAGAAGCCCTCACTAAGATCAAAAAGTGAACAATACTAGTGTGCTTTACAGTGATCCCGCACCGAAAATGATTCTCAGACTGCAAATGATCTCTCAAATGGAACGCAAATGATGTTCGACTGCAAATGATCCCATGAAAAGTAGAGGAGTGGAATGGACTTGAGGCATGGTTGTGTGAATGGCGCTGAGATCTTGAACAACACATTGTTAAAGTAATTGAAATGAGAATGGGAATGGAATGAGAAACAGAGTAACAAGTAGGCATAACTTTTTGTAACCATATCAGAATTCTTCTAAATAGTGGGATTCACACTAGAAAAAATTTTTATTTTAGGTCAGTTTCATAGACTTGTGTGGTTACAAATTTAAAAAAATAATCATTTTCTCAAGTTCATATTGAGTATCCGATCGGGTGGATTGAGAATTCCTTCTTAAAAATATTACAAATGTATATCTAATTTAGCTACAGGTACATTTTGAAGTTTTGTCCAGTTTCACATACATATGAAAATTTACAATGATTACAGTAAATAAAGAAAGAAACTGCACTGTTTTTTAAGCGCTATTTTCTTGTTTCAAGGATACATGTATTTTTAAACTTTACAGAATTTCAGATTTTCTTATTTGCATGTCTTTTTGCTTAACTGATTGAACAAAGTTTTTAATGTAATTTTACACTGTTTCTTTTTTGTCATTACTTTTGAAGCAAAATTTATTCAGTTTAAAGATTTTTTGTTGAGATAATAATCTAGACGCAATGATCCAGTAACTTACACACTGTAAGTCCAAGCCATTTTCTCCTTTTCCTCTCAGGATCATTTGTTGTCAACGATGGGGATCATTGGCGGTTTGGGAATCATTTGCAATCAGGATCAATTTTGGTACTGTACAATGCTGAGCTAACAAGAAATATCATGAATACCGTAAATCCTCTATTAACCCCCCTCTCTATTAAGCCTCCTCCCCAACTCAAAAGAGCTTGAAAAGCCCCCCGGGGGGCTTAATGGAGGATTTACATGTTTAAGATAACTGAGACAGATATTTGCTTGTGTCATGTCTGCATGGTCCTCTCTTAAAAGTTTACAAGGTGGGGAGGGTTTAATGACTTTAATCGGAAATTAATGGACACACACTTGAAACCATTTTTTTTTTTAGACCAAAAGACTTCACTTTACAAACAACCATACTCAGATTCTAAAGTGCGATTTTTCTATTTTAATGGTAGCCAGGACTCAGGTACTAGCACCTCTTGTCCTGAGCACAGTAGTTTGTCAAGTCTTCACAGTATTTTCATCAAGTCTTTACATCTATAACCTGTATTAAGGTGACTCAACCCGGTTTTTTTTTTGGGGGGGGGGGGGGGGGGGTTGGACAGAGTGTCTTCTATTCCTTTGTTTTTATTGTTTTTTTATTCTTTTTATTTTTTTTCTTTTTTTTAATCTTTGTTTATTTTTTTTTTATTCTGTTTTTTGTTGTTGTTTTTTTTTTTTTTGGGTGGGGTGGGGGGGGGGGGGGGGGGGGAGGTACCATCCTACTTTGAAGCTCTCTGGTATCCCCACCTTTACTTTTATCGTAAGTCTAACCCATAGAATCGATAACATATAGATCAATCTACAATATAACATAAAAATTTTGGCGATCAGAGTAAATGTCACGTGGTTATAATGCCAAGCCCCTTTGAGGTCTGAGTCAAAAATCTGCTGTTGCCGGCATTTTTTCGTGAAAATCTCTCGGCTACACATAGTGCACATTAGTGCCTTGTGCTGAACAGAGTTTCACCAAAATCGCAAAGACCCAATTCGAGAAATTCAGCGGTTTCCAAATTTAGGTCATAATTTATGCGAAAATGATAACCAAACTTTACACGGATTGTATCTAATAAACTATGAGATTCATCTCTTTATTTTGGGCATCGTTATAACAGCTGGGTCCTTGCAAGTCAGCAAAATGCTTTAGGGCCTTGTAAATGCGCGCGATTTCGAGCAAAGCAAACATATAGAAATTATAGTTTTCCCTATTTGTTGACGTTTGTCTGCGTTTAAGAGTCCTTCTCACAAAAAAAGCATTTTCTTAAAAATTCGTAGTTTTTTTCGTTCAAATTTTTTCAGGGCCACAATTGATTAACTAACTACCCAGACTCTGAATTTCATGGTCATTGAAAAACTGTGACATTATCTTCTGTAAGCCCAGACTTGAGTAAACATTGAAGATTTTCACCGTTTTGGCTGAGTTTGTGCTTTGGGAGTTGTCTATTGTTTCTAGTCTGTCATGATACAGCATTCTTGTTCAACATGCGTGCAATGACCATGACTTCTTCATGTACATTCTTAATGTACGTGTTGTCTTTTGGTAAAAACAAATAATAATGATAACAGAAAGACAGACCAAAAGACTTAACTGGCGTAAATTGAACATTTCTGGTAAGCCCTCTACATTACTGCCTAAAGTTCTGCCTTAAGTTCTTGAGTGGGATAAAACCATCTACATTACTGCCTTAATCCTATAAATGTATGCTTCAATCAAAACATGCTTTCACCTGTTGCTGATATTGCAAACATCTGCAGGAACTTCTTTTGTACTCTTGGGGAAAGTGTCATCAACATCCATTGATAAATCTGTACCTTCCATTTTCAAAGAGACCCAATTTGGGATTTGGAATAACTCTGGAAACAAAAGTTTGAAAAATTGAGTGTTTTGTAGTAGGAGGCAGTCATAAAACCATCAGTCAAAGGCTAATTGTAACAACCAGAACATACACTGTTCTGTAATAACAATAACTCATCTTCCCCCGGGCTAAAACTTTTACCCGTGATCCTTTTTAACCACACAGTACATGCATGACCTGTATTTTTTTGGCTTACAGTAGAAAGCTTAACCCTTTGGTGACTGCCAGCAAGACACCAAAATTAATGGTACATGTGTATTTTACATAACATAATTTACGTTTAGTAGCAGTTTTATAGATTTTGAGCCAACAGAATAGCCAGCTGCCAAGAGAAAATACTTTTACATTAGGACTCAAAGTTACTCCACAAGTAACAGTGATATGGTATACAGGTCAAAGACAGACAACTTCAAATTTATATTGTTTTAAGCTAATTAACATACTAGGTATTGCTAGAGCTCTGTCTTGCTGCTGGTCTAAAAGGTATATAAACACATTCATCGCATGTCATGACCATTGATTTTAAATACTGTCAGTAGTGTCAGCATTGGTAAAATGCCAAAAAAATAAAATATTGTAAAGATGATAATAATATTATATAAATGTGACTCAACTACACCTAAGGTAGTGTGCACAGTTTGATCACAAATTACATTATTCTAATTTTCTGAAGGTACACTGTACTTCTGTTTCTGTGGGAGAGCATGAACTTGCTGTTCATTTCATTTGTTCAGGATTGATAGCGTGGGGGTGGGGCCAGAATAGATGGTCCACAAGGATAAAATAAAAATAGCAATCTTGGGGGTGTGCCTGGAGGTAGGAGGATGGTAAAGAGTGAATTAAACTATGCATAAGGGCCTCACACAGCAATAACATTAGCAACATATATAGCAGTAACATTAGCAATCAAACATCTTTGCACAAGAGTTAACATTAAAAGTTCTTTCAATAAAGCTTCATAGTCATGATCATGCTTTCAAAATGGCCCTGGGGTTTTCCTCTGGAGGGGTCTGGGGACGTACACGCCTAGAAATTTTTGAAATTTCAATGCCCTAAAATGCGATTTCCAGCATTCTGGGCACTAAATTGAGTACAAATGATAATGTACAGATGTGCGATTTCCAGCATTCTGGGCACTAAATATTTTAAATCTTAAGTAAAAGGTCTGTCTAGGTCCAGCAAATTGAATTTTAATTTAAGTTTTGGTACAGTCTTTCTTTAATTTAATTTTTATTTTGGGGGGGAAAGTAGCTGACTTCTCTGAACAAATTTGACAGTGGTTGGTGCTTATTGAAACCCTTGATAACCTTTGCTAGTTTGTGTCTTCTCTAGACACATTCAATCATATCATGACCAATGTAATCTTCTTAAAGTGTCTGGCTGTACATCACAACTCCGACACTAGAAATCTGACCTAAAAAAACTACTCCTGGTACACACATATGAACATCAAAAAAGATGATCCCATTACTACTGACATAATTAAGGTTTTGCATGTTCTGTACCTGGCCTGGTCAATTGAACAAAATAAATGAACTTTTAATCAAAATCAAACCATGGAAGGATTGACTTTGATTAACACTGACAATTGAGCTAAAATTGAAATCACAAAAATAATTTGCTCAACCTACATGTAACACAATTAAACATTCAAATTCCAAATTTTTTAAATTGGAATGGACTGATAAGAAAAATGAAGCATCCGTTTTTCTTTTCGAGACAAAAACTTGTTTGACTACTTTTGAGACGATTTACTCTAAAAAGTGCCAACCCCTACAACGTTTATCAGGGTGCAAAGAAAGCCATTTTTCCAGCTTGCCATTCGGACAAGCTGAAGCTAACATAATTATACTAGCCCAAATGTCATTTCAGCTAGCCCCAAAAACTTTTTGATGAGCATAATTGATTTCACAGTTCTTCTGTAAGTTGGATTCCTCAAGACACTTCACTTGCCTATTGGGCAAGTTAAGAACAGAATTCACAAGCCCGATAGCAAAATCCATTAGCCCCAGGCTATCGGACACTACTTTCTTTGCACGCTGTTAATTATCAAAAATAAAAGAGCAGGACCAAATCACAGTGGAATCTCAGGAAATTTATCCTCCTGATGAGTGACGAGTAAACTGTTGTCTGTACATGTAGTTTTATTACTTCACGGATGTCACTACAGCTGTAACTAAGATTTCAAGTCACCGGGTAAATTAATATAACAAGTAGGTGGGGAAACAAACAGCCAGGGATTTCTTTAGATTCTATTTTTCTTCTATTTTCCTATGAAAGTAGCTGGGGGCCATGTTCATAATAGCCAGTGGAAATCCCTGGCCCCTGGGTCTTAATGACAGCCATGTTACTTACAGTGATTTTGTTACAAATAGTTATGGTGAGTCCTGGGACTCATCTTGTGAAAAATCATGAGTCCAAGTCCAGAACCAATGAGTCCCAGTAAAAAAAATAAGTTTGGAAATTGAAAATGCTTGGCTAGCCAGATAGTTAGCCTGAACACAGATGCCAAAACTCTGTATTACAGTATACTGAAATTGAAATACACTCCTTCTGTTTTAAAGCACAACAAAGGCTAAACAAAGGCTAAAAGTCGTTAAACAAAAGCTATAAAAGCTACCACAGAAACTACACTAACGGGTCAGATATTTCTACAAATACACTTGTTCAGATTGATCAATCTCTTTACATACTACTGTACGGTATGCTTACTATGAATATTATTATTATTATTTTGTGTCTGGGAGGCAGGGCGCGGAGGCAACAAAATCACTACTACTTACATTTAGTGTTTACTCTTTCCATCATGACAGTAATTCCTTCCAAGATAGCTCAGTCTCTCTTGTTTCTTCTCAGATATTGAGTATGACCTTTTACACCATTTGCTTTCTATCAACTGCTATTACGAAAATTAAAAATAATAATAATGATAATAATGTTAATTAATTCATATTTATTACAGTGTGATCAGGAAAACCATGAAGATTTCAAATATCTTAGGAATTTCTATTGTCTTATGACCAATCACAGCAAAACTTGATCAGGACCTGTGAACTAGTACCCTGGTCCCAGAGGTTTTTCTTGCAATTTTTCTTCAGGAAAGAGCAAGAGAGACACACGGCAGCGAGGAGAGAGAGAAAACCTCAAAAACCTCTGGGACCAGGGTAGCGAACTAGCCACAAAACTACAAACTAATTAACATTCTTGCTTACGGTTTAGTTTTCTCACAACTAATTAGCTTCTTTCTTGCAACACAATAACACTCCAATAACACTCCAGAATTTTCTGGTGTTCACAGTTTTCGCGGTTTGACTGTAAACTTCATTGAAACTTAGAAAATTATTCAGTTGTTAATACATGCTGCTGTCGCCTGTTTCACAGTCACAGTAGTTTGAACAATAATTTAAAAGAAATACCACAAGTGATTGTGTATGCAGCTACAAATGTAGAAGGCAGACCTGAAACAGACGACAGCCGCTGTAATGCAAACCAGTAGACCATATTGTTTTTTTGTTCTCATCCTCTTGTCCTCAAACACAGCAGAAATCAATCAAGCTTACTTCATACAGTAGAACCCCGTCTTAATACGGCTAACAGTCACATTTTAAAATCCCAAAAAGTAGATTCTCTTAGAATTTACCCAGTTAATGCGGCCACTCGTTCGAAATTTAAAAAATCAAAATGCCTATCTAAGCTTATTGAGCCTAGCCCGTTTAAACGGCCAATTCTTTTTGGCCCATTAGAGACCGTATTAACGGGGTTCCACTATACTCGTTTGATTGAGTTGGATTCGATTGGTTCGATAATCAAACTGAGTTGTTCGATTTTCTTCTTTTTCAATGGACTACATGACATTGTAAGTTTGATTATTTCGATCAAGTTCTATCGATTCGATAATCGAACCAGTGTGGAACTCACAGTACCCAGCGTACCATGGCGCTTTTGTTTGCGCGCCCGACCAAAACCGCCATGCTACGGAGGCTGACCTCACAAAAAATGTGCTGTTCGATTCGAATTCCCGAACTCAGTCCATCGACATTTTAGTTCGATTAGGATGTCCACTAACGAAATTACAACAGAAAGGGTAATCGCCCTATAAGCTATTGAAACAAGAAAATTACAATGATCTCACCTCAAAAAAACCCAACGATGCAGAGTTGTACAACGGCAAAGAACCCAATGTGGCCTCTCTTTACTTCAAACCTCAAAAAGCCCGCGTTGTAGCAGGGCTGAAAAACGACTGCGCATGTGTTATGTCATGCGGCAAAAACGCAGGCTCAGGCGGATCCTTGTATGAGCGCCTACATCCAGTAGTTACCCGGCCAAAAATGACACCCGTTCCAAGGTCCTCTTTTTTCCCCCAATATCGATATACGGTGGAACCTCTATACAAAGAATTAAGCCCTAAATATAGTGAACTATTTCCTTTACCCCAATAATAGGTGTAAAGGGTACAATTCTTTATCTACACCACAGGCAACCCAGGCTCACTATTTGTGTCACGTACGGGTTTCATATAACTTGAGTAGTATGGAGAACATATGGACCATATGGGGCGAAGTTTTTCACCCACACTTGACACAATTTTGACCCCTAAAAGAAACCATTTTAAACTTTGATTACAAAAATCGAGTAAATAAAGAGAATTGATTTTTTTAAATATATTTCTTCGCATGTAACCTCACGGCGTTTTCCCAGTCCCTCTCGGTCAATTCACTTTGGTGACGTATCCGAGGCGAACAATGCTTGGACCACGTGTCCCGAAACGCTTTGGCCGCACGGAATAATGAGGCCTAGGCACTAGGCAAAAGTGAGGCCAAAATCCGAAATTTACACCCTCAAGTGAGACGACAAGCATCCCCGCCCCTTTGATATGGGAGTCTCCCCCCAGGGTCTAGCATAATTTTTGGCATAATTCGTCATTACGAGCATAATTTTCATCTATAGTCATTACCAACAAGGGCATAGTCTGCTACACAGCCGTTTTTATTGTCGTCACGCAACGCTCCTTCCCACGGCATTGCGTGACGACTCTAAAAACGGCTTTGTAGCAGACTAACAAGGGCACTGCTAGCATTATTTTCACTTTTAGCTAGTTTTGCAGCACAAAATTGAGAGATCAGTGTTACAGCCGAATTTAAGTAGCAAAATCAATTTTTTTGTCTGCTTATCAGTCACATTCATGGGACTTCAGGGATCCCACGGGAAGTGACCCAGGACACTTTCTACAAGCATGAATGCATGCAGAGAAATAGATCGGTTACACCCAAGATGGCGTCCGTGTGCTGGTTGATGATTGTTTGAGTTTTTATAGATTTCAGATAATGAATTATACACTCTTAAAGTTTCTAGATGTAAATAGGGTAAATGAGTTTGCCATTTACTTTTTTGTGAAGTGTTTTTACCAAATTTAAAGTAAAAAGTAGAAGCATAATTTATGCATTTTTTTTTTGCGAAATGAACATAATTTTAAAAAACTTGCATAATTATTAGCACAATTTTAGAAATATCTACTAGCATATTTTTATACTACTTTGCGAGCACAATCAATCAAAGCTTAAACTTCTAGCCTCCCACATAGACGCTCTTGGTGCTCCAGGGGTCACACAAAACGAAAAAACATAGAAACAAACAAAACAAAACAAAACAAAAGAGAAATAGAGCGACTTTCGTATGACCTTGAAAAATGACTTCGGTAAATGTTTGTCATTTGTTTTATAAACCAAGGGATGAAAAGTTCAAAACATGGACTCTTCGTTTTTCGGCCAAAGAAAACCGTTATATGGATTGGAGAAGGCATTGTTCGATTGACCAATCGTGTTGCAGTATAACGTCAAAGCCGACGCGAACGTTCGCTTAACCAACCAAAGGCCACGTGCGTTTGTATCCGTTCGATAAACCAAGCAAATCGCTCTATGTCCGTTTGTTTGTTGTTTCTGTTTTGTTTGCGCGTTTTCATTTCAAGGTCATACGAAAATCGCTCCAAATGATTAAAATAGCGGCCGTTCGAAAGGGGTAGGCGAGTAAAGAAGAAAGGAAGAGGGATTGGGGAGAGAGGGAAAGGGCTTTATCTCCCTTTAACGTTTTCTCCCATCCTCTTCCCCCGTTTTTCCTGCACCTGCTGTGCAGGTCAAACCACAAACAGTATCATTGAGAGAGAATAAGGTCATTCTCTCCTGGTACTGTAGCAGTGTTACCCACAGAATCAAAAGTTGAGTCCAATAATTTACAGAGAAGAGAGCCCACGGAGAAATTGTGTTCTCTGGTTTAAATGTTGGAGTCATGGTGGCCGATTGCACTCTTCACCTTCGCAAACAGTAGGCTCGGGATCAAGTCTTGCCGACACGTTGTCTCCTTAGACAAGACTAACTACAAACCACTTTATTGGTCTCTTTTCATTCAGGATTTGATAAAAAGGTACTTGCCACTTACTGCTGGGCAGAACCCTGTGATGGACAAGCCCCATCCCCATTGCATACCAGAGGGGGATTCTTAATAAAGTTTTACAACGGGAGGCTTCGCCACGAGGTCCGACCCCTTATCCTTTTTAATTATATACCATTTTTGACAGAAAAATTACCATGCACTATTGACATATGGTCCCTCTCAAATGCGTTGGGAACTTTGCATCCCAAAAAACGTTTTAAAATGTGAATAAATCACAAACCAGTACGTTTCCACGACTTTTTGAAAGCTATGAAATGAGTCCTTTAGCTCTTTTGGACCTTTTTTGAGGATCAAAGGAAACCGGCCGTTTGGATACGAACTTTGCGCATGAACATGAAAAACTTTTTGGGTGAATATTCATCCGGCGTTCTTTAAGCCAATTACGCGAAACTATTTACAACTCGATTAAATAAACTTGTACCGAAACGACTTTGTATAGAAACGACCATAAACTGACCCAAATCACATATGTCTCTACCCTTTTATACACTTCAACAATTGAAATCCCTAATCTTCATATACCTGAAGCCTGAAAAAGGTACCTTGTTTTTTTTCTTACGGAACCTTCTTTGACAGGCCATTAAAGGAAGTATCCCCGAGGGCCACATCCACGGCCAATACTCTTGGGTGTTTCATGCTACAGAAACTGGGTTAAGCTCTGCTTTGGTTCTTTTGCACTTAAAAATTAAAAGCTATGAAAGAACTTGTTTGATATAAATGGAACAGCCTGACGGAAAACAAACTAACCAAAATTGTAGTATCATTTTGAAGGATCACCGACCAACTGAAGGGCTCAAGAGAATTGAATTCAAGCATGTCCTCTGTGAAAGTAACTCTAACATTTTGCTTTCCCAGGACCACTTCTTGCTTGTCTGAGGTAATTTCACTTGGAGGGTGACCTTCTTGGAGCCAAGAGAGCTTTAAAAGTCGAGTTTTAAAACTTTTCCCAGCAAGATAATCCACGCGCCCCGGACCACAGGGAGGGGCGTCTAATCCATCAACTTTTTAAAACTGAAGTTATTTATTAAACGCCAGTCCGCACTGTCAGCAACAGCAGACTGCCACACCAGCTGGTGTTATATAAGAAGAAGGTATTCTGTGTTCTTATCTGACAGCCAGACTTGATATGTATGAGGAAGAGAGAGAGAGGATTTTTGTGAGGAAGGGCAAAAGTAAGCCTGAGATAACATCAATATGGTTTTCATGTGCAGAGAGTACATACTGGAGTTGTCCACAAAGTCTTGTCTATCCTTTAACCAAGAAGAAAAATAAGACTGCGTTGGTTGTGATAGAAAGCATTAAATAAAGTCAACAATGATAAAAATAATGGTAATGATGATGATTACGGCGACGACGATGACCACAATGACGACGACGCTGATCATGGTGATAATGATGATGATGATGCCATATTGACGGTGATGATGGTACATTGGAATCCCGCTCTACGGACACCCGCATATAAAGGACAGTTTCGTTTGTCCCGACAAAAAGCTCATATGTTTTCACTAATACGGATAACGGATACTTTCCTGCGTCCCTCTCGAGTCACAAACTCTCACATCTCATCAACCTTGCTTTACAACGGACACTGGTTACCTGTCATGAATTGAATGGGGTACAATGTATACAATAAGCAAATGGTTGTGACTGATTTGTATGGGTAAATACGATTTTGTTAAATTTAAAAAAAAGAGGGAATGGCGTAATATGTTTGATTTTGATAAGACTCTAATAAAATTGTTGTTGCTTTTGTCAAGACTTGTAACCATTTTCTTCTGCCATTTTGAATTTTCTTTAAAAAACTGCTAACCTAACAGTCCCGGCTGCATGCATTTTGCCCCCATTATCTGCCACATAGGGAGGATTTGGCTCCTTTTTCACAGGAAATTCATAAATTATCTACTATATAAAACAATTTGAAATATGGAATCAAGGCCAATTTAAGTACTAGAAGCTTTTCCGATATATCGGAATTGATATAAAACTGTGAATTGTTCAGAATGCAAAAAGTTGCTCGAAACGAAAAAAGTTGCTCGAAATACGAGAAGTTGCCAACTGTTGCCGAGAAACTTGTGGAAAGCCCTGACCCTGCAAGTTCGTCCTGACGGATAATGAGTGAGCTATTGCTTGAACGTTGGAAAGAAAAAATCCAGTCAAAAGTTGTGGTTCAGTTAACACCTTTCACTTGAAATGCGATCCTCCACAGGTTTTCACAAGTGGGGAACAGGGACTTACTGATGCTGGAGACAAGCGAGGAACCCGTGAGGGGGTGGGGGTGATAGGAACGAGCGCATAGCGCGAGCGGGGAGTGATGGGAAGGAAGTAAAACCTACAAGTGAAAACTCCCTCACCAATAGACCTTACTCACGATACCCACCATCTTTGAATGCCGGCTGATATTTCAGGGGGAAAACAAACGATGAAATTTGGCAATACGAGTAATCGCAGACGAGTTTGTTTATTCTATTAAAACGAGGACACGATTTTGGTCATGCAAAATGTTCAGTTCGAGTTTCGACAAGTTTTATGTCATTCTATCTACTATTGCTACTGCATCCATAGAGGTAACAATGATCACTTCAACCCATAATTTGCCATTATTGTCTTTAAGATAGCAAGATCCTCATTTTCTGTTGTCTAGAATAAGCAAACTCGATGGGGATTTCTTGTATTGGCAGATTACATCACTTGTTCGTCACCTGAGAAACACGTGCCATTGCTTTTATCCCATCAGTCCCAAAGAGCGACCAAAGATAAAGGGCATAATTGTGAATCAGTAAGGTGTATTGGGATGATATCGGTTTTGACTGGTTTGTGGCGTTTTTGAGAGAGGCGCGTTAACCAGAAGTGAGGACTATTGCCTTTTAATATGACTTGACACTATAAAATCTGTATTGCTTAGTTTCATTACACTTGTAGAGACAACTGAACTCAAATAATTATTTGGGCGAAATCACTGCTCACGGATGTAAAAAGTCCACGTGCGTCGCCCAAAAACGCCTTTGCTTAAGTTCCCTAATTAACTCAAGTATCCCCTTAAAAAAGCGATCGCGAGTGACTGGGGACGAGGCAGTCAATTGAATACAGACTCACTGAGGTTAACGTTGATATTTTAGTGTTATTAGTCAAGGCTTAGTTGTGATAAACCTGTTTCAAAAACTGCAATTCACTCTTTAGGGGTGCGCCATTAAATCTTGAAAGAGTGAGATGATAGAACATTCTCAGCGCATGATTTTTCATATTTTACAACTACACTGTACGGTGTTACAGTAAGTCCCTCGCAGCTAATCGGCACCTTCGCGTGATGGGTATTTTTCGATGGACTGCTGCTACTAAGAACCCACGCTGTTCCGAATGATCCCGCCCGTTCCGTTGTCATTCTTTGACAGATGTTAAATCTCTCCCCAGTCTCCACATTTTGGTGGATGCCGTGGCGAATCCCCCCCCCCCCCCCCCCCCCCCCCCCCCCCCC